AGACACCTTATTTGTTATATAATATCTAATGAATGCCTATGGTAACTTAAATTGTGTAGGTTCGTGTTGGGTGTATCCTCCTCTGTGAAGCAGTTTTGACAATAATCCTTGTGACGGTGGCAATGCTGTGGTTGCACAGCCATAGAGTTCTATTCGTGGGAATAACAGCAGATATTTTCAACATTATCATGTACGCTGTTCCTTTGGCCATATGGAAAAAGGTTTACGATACAAAGAGTGTGGAGTACATGCCTTTTTGGCTCTCACTTGCTGGCTTGTCTAATGGCATCTGTTGGACCATTTATGGCCTTCTCCAGTTTGACATCTTCATCCTGGTTTCCAATGGGCTAGGATCCGTCTTCGGGGCAGTTCAGCTGGGTTTATATGCTTACTATTACTTCAATGGAACTAAAGAACAAGTGAAGAAGCCATCACAGGTTCAGCTCTCTAATCAACCCAGTGGAGCAGCCTGAACATTTTGAGTTCCGAAGGGAACATAAAGCTTTTCTTAGGCTAGAGTTTTTTTTAGGTTTAGAGCGTATGATATGTTTTATTTGGATATTGTTCTTATTCAATTCTTTCTTTTTCTATTTTTTTATTTTTTGCCCTTCGTCATGTTGATTTTTTACTCAAACAAAATTTAATCTAATTAATTTTTTATATACTAATATGTGGAGTATGTTCCATTTAAATGAATGTTACAATCTGCGATTACCAAAATTCTTTAATAGAAGAAGAAATCAATCAAATGATTAGAGCAAATCCCATGATTTAATTTTCTTTATCTGTTGTATAATTTTATTATAATTTCCTAAGAACTGGAAAAGGACATAATTTTGCAGACAAAATCTTGTTAAGAGATAGCTAATTGTTTCATTGGATACGATTTGAATGGAACATTCGTACAGATCAAGGTGTTATATTACATTAAATATCAAATAACACTTAAAAATTAAGAAATTAACACCAATACCGCAAAAACTCCTAAAATATAATAAAAAAGTTTACAATACTAAAATAATACTAAACACTATGGAAGTGATGAAAAGTAAGTTCAAGTGAAAAGTAATGATTTAGACACATACAAATTTAATAAGAGTTAGAACATGCAAAGACAATCTATTTTCCAAGCGTGGTGGTGTTAGCGGTCTCATTTTTTGTCGCTTCGTTGTAGAGGTTAGACAATCTTAAGCGGAATAATCTGATTTTTTGACTGATTGGATCTTGATTATTTTGTTATGACTTCTATGTGCGGTCAATGATGGTGCGGAGCTTGTATCATTTTTTTTGGAATGTTTCCTTTATTTTTTGTGGTGAGGTCTCTCAATATGATGAATGCTTGGTTGATATGTTGGTTCGTCGAGATTACATTCTCTTCACGATTCAGTGACATATGTGTTCCCCATGAAGTCATATAATTATGTTTGCACAATTCAAGTACCTTTGTATTACTTCTTTTCTTGTTGATCTCCGAGAGTTAGCAATTTGGTATTTTTCTTTTTTTTTTTTTTGGCTATGTTGGTACTGATTTTTATGTTTTTGTTACTACATGTACTTTTTCCTCTTTCTATGATTAGTGAAGTTTTTAACGAGACATATAATTGAGATTAATCTTTTACTAATAAAATTTTTTTAACGAGAAAAAAAAACTGAATTTCCAAAATCAACATAAAACATTATTTATAAATTCCAAAATTTAATAAAATATTTGCTTGACACATAATCCTTCAAATTTCATAACATTCCACTAAGCCAAGCTTTAGGAAAAATCACCATGCAAATATTCATATTTAACTTATCTTACACTTTAGTCCTATAACTTTATTTTTGCTCTAATTGTCATCGGATTGATATCTTTTCTATTAAATTTTTTGGCTAATCTCAAATTGTAACAATGATTTAAATGAAACATACTGCAAATATTAATATATTAAAAAATAATTGGATTAAATTATGTTTGTGTTAACAAAGAAACATGACGAAGGGCAAAAAGAGAGAGAGAGAGAGAGAGAGAGTATAATAAGAAAAATATCCAAATAAAACATATCATACACCCTAAACCTAAAAAATGCTCTAGCCTAAAAGAAGTTGTGTTCCCTTTGGGACTCAAAATAGAAAGAGGGTCTAAAATATTCAGGCTGCTCCACTGGGTCGATTAGAGAGCTGAACCTGTGATGGCTTCTTCGCTTGTTCTTTAGTTCCATTGAAGTAATAGTAAGCATATAAACCCAGCTGAACTGCCCCGAAGACGGATCCTAGCCCATTGGAAACCAGGATGAAGATGTCAAACTGGAGAAGGCCATAAATGGTCCAACAGATGCCATTAGACAAACCAGCAAGTGAGAGCCAAAAAGGCATGTACTCCACACTCTTTGTATCGTAAACCTTTTTCCATATGGCCAAAGGTGCAGCGTACATGATAATGTTGAAAATATCTGCTGTTATTCCCACGAATAGAACTCTATGGCTGTGCAATCACAGCATTGCCACCGTCACAAGGATTACTGTCAAAACTGCTTCACAGAGGAGGATACACCCAACACGAACCTACACAATTTAAGTTACCATAGGCATTCATTAAATATTATATAACAAATAAGGTGTCTGATTCATATGAACGTACCCTTTTCTTGCGATCATTAGCATAAACGACGTAGACAGTTAAGTAGAGAAGTTCAATGACAAGGCCGACGCTATTGATGGTCAACACTAATATATTGTCTTTTTTAACAATGGGGAGACCATAGAACATCCAGATTACGCAGTTCATCACTGTGCACAAGTAGGGATATGGCTGAAACTCCTCCACTGCCTTCTTCTTATGTATTTGGTAAAACGTTGGCCTATTAATTCACAACAACTGTTAGCTTAAATTTCAATTTCAATTTCAATAGAAAATACGTATAATGCTCGAAAAGGAATAAAGAGAGAGAGAGTGTGCTTACAGTGGCGAGAGGAAGAGACCGAAAGAGATGACATTCCCGATAATGCCGACGATATTGTGAGCAAGTCCCATCTTGAAACCTTTTATCAAGCTGTAACTAAGGAGGGAAGAGAGCACAATCAAACGCAGAAATTGTGAGGGATGAAGGGCTGATTCCAAAGTTATATATAAAGTTTAAGCAAAGAATAGAGAAGGACTTTTCATTGGAGTAGAAATCCTTATCTAATTAAATTTCAATCACTTAAAATACAATTTAATATTATAAAATAGTAAATAAGTAGAGCAATTATATCGAATTTAGAATTATTCTTTCAAACCAATAATTGTGCTTATTAGCAGCTGAAACTATATACCCAATTATTATAAAACAAATAAAATACATAAATTGAGTTCACGAGGTACCTAGTTTTAATCTATTAAATATTTTATTATTATTTATTTTTCAATCAAAAGCTATCAACGAATAATTTCTGCTTTTGCTTCAGGAAATACAGGCATATTTTATTTCTCTATGGATTTTGCCTTCTTCTGGCATTCAAATTAAAACTTAATTTGATTGATTTACCTCTTTAGTCATTTTATTTGATTTGGTGAGTTCTGATTTGCAAATACATATGGATTGAATTCTTAATAGTTAAAGGTAATTGGCTAGTAGAAAATATTGGTTCCATCATGATTACTATTTATGCAGACTTGATAGATTCCTCGTAGATGAACAGTGGATCCAAAACTTCAAATACTTGATACAGTTCGGTCTTCAGAGATCAATATCAGATCATACTCCGATCACGATATCAAGCAACGTGCTTGATTGGGGGGCTAAAGCCATTCAAATTCATCAACGCTTGGTTATTAAAGGAAGGGTGTATAGATTTTTTTCGTGTGGGACGAACACAAAAAATAAAATTTCAGGATCGCATAGAATAGACATTTACCTTAAAAAAATTTGAATTTTAAGGTGCGCAAATCGAAAAAAAGGACACCCAAGCTCTTGCTAAAGAAAAGGTAGTGGGAGACTTCAAGTAAACGCACTTTGTACATCTCATATTTCCTGAGGATGATGAGTGAACAAATTAAGAAAATTTGAGTGGATCATTAAGTAGCAATATTAAAAGAAATTATACAGTAGACATGCAACCATGTTGAACAATGTTTCTGAGCTGGTTATGATGCTAAGACAAACTACACTGACAAATTAGTGGTCGATAAATGGAACAACTCCATGTTTGTTTTCTTTCTTAGTGCAGAATGTAAACAAAACAGAACAACTAGCACTTCTCCAAACCTAAGCGACGTGCTTGATTAGGGGGCCAAAGCCATTCAAATTCATCAACGCTTGGTTATTAAAGGAAGGGTGTATAGATTTTTTCGTGTGGGACGAACACAAAAAATAAAATTTCAGGATCGTATAAAATTGACATTTACCTTAAAAAGATTTGAATTTTAAGGTGCGCAAATCGAAAAAAATGACACCCAAGCTCTTGTTAAAGAAAAGGTAGTGGGAAACTTCAAGTAAACGCACTTTGTACATCTCATATTTCCTGAGGATGATGAGTGAACAAATTAAGAAAATTTGAGTGGATCATTAAGTAGCAATATTAAAAGAAATTATACAGTAGACATGCAACCATGTTGAACAATGTTTCTGAGCTGGTTATGATGCTAAGACAAACTACACTGACAAATTAGTGGTCGATAAATGGAACAACTCCATGTTTGTTTTCTTTCTTAGTGTAGAATGTAAACAAAACAGAACAACTAGCACTTCTCCAAACCTAAGCCTCTCAAGTTCATCCATATGACACCTTAGATACCTGTAACTTATGAATAAGGACTTATTTAAACACGACAGTTCATCTGAAACGTATTGTAAACATGGTTTAAATGCTGAAATGATCGAGTATTTTTCTAAGATAATAAGACACTATAACATGATGATTGAGCATCATATGACGTTTGAATCCCACGAGGGAATCGAATTGGACGAAGAAGCTTGTCCCTAACAGAATAAAGCTTGATAACAACTTCACTCATGTTCATCCGCTCACTCGGTGATTCAGTAGAACAAGTGAGACCTATTTCGAATAACGAATTCAAGCATTGGAAACTCATTTCCCGTGCTGTTTTCATTGAGAGGGATATCTGTAACTGTTCCTCCTTTGAAACTCCCTTGAAGTAGAATGGGATCTATAATCTCAATCATTCGATCGGGAAAAGCTTTTGAAACAAAGTTGTGAAGACTTAAACCTTCTTTGAACTTTTCATCAGTTGGCCTCTTTCCTGTAAATATCTTTAACGAGAGGATGCCATAACTATACACATCACCTTTCGTTGACAACTCGCTTCCCATCCCATATTCTACGATTAATTCATCGCAAATTATATATACAAATAATTAAAGAGAAAAATACACTAAACAGTTGTTGAAGAAATGAAAACAATGTAATTACCTGGTGGTGCATAACCAATAGTTCCTCTTATGCCAAGAGAGCTCGACTGATTTGCAGGATGGTTAAACCTATCTTCATAAAGGACTCTTGCTAAGCCAAAGTCACTTATGTGGCCAACCATTTCGTCATCGAGTAGAATATTGCTTGGTTTGAGATCACAATGAATGATTGGTGTTTCACAACGATGGTGTAGATATTCGAGTGCATGAGCAACATCTACGAGCATATTAACTCTCTAGATGAAGTTCAAGTTTCTTACAGTCTCCGGTTCATTCATGGTGATAGACGGGTGCAACCAGTCTGTAGAATCAAAATAGAGTAAAAACTCTAATTGATCGAGAAGAAGAAAAACTCTCTTTAGAATAATCTCACAAAATTACAAAAGGGAAGAACTCTTAAGAAAGCTTTCAAATGCTTATAATTAAGCTTTGATTGTTGGATGATAAAACTCAAATACAAGTAGGGTATTTATAGGTTACAAGAAACAATCTAAACCACTCATTAAAATAATCACTAAATAATCTAAACCATTGAAATTAAAAATATGAGAAAAATACTTAATTTTCACCTAACTAAATTGATGTAAGAAATGTCATCAAAACTAAATTGATGTAAGCAATGACATCAAATTAATTTAGGTGTGAACTTATGTAGGCTAATATTGAATTTTCAACACTCCCCCTCAATGTTAGCCTCCATTATTTAAATCACACCATGCTGATGACGGAAATGTTCAAACTTTTCAACACTCAACCTTTTTGTAAACAAGTCAGCAATTTGCTCATCTGTCTTGATTTGCCTCATCCCAATCTCTTTTTGCAAAACTTTTTCCCTAACAAAGTGGTAATGTATTTCCACATGTTTAGTTCTTGCATGAAAAACAGGATTCTCTACCAGTCGAATTGCCGATTGGTTGTCACAATACAACGGAATTGCATAATCTACTGGTTGATGTAGAATACTCATCAACTGTATCAACCATGTACTCTCTTGAGCTGCCATTGCTGCAACTCGATATTCAGCTTCAGTGGTTGACAATGATACTGTTGGTTGTCTCTTGCTACACCAAGAAATTGTTCCGGATCCAAGCTTAAACACATACCCAGTTGTTGATCTCCTGGTGTCATGATCTCCTGCATAATCAGCATCACAATAACCAACTAACTTCCAGTCTTCACCTTTATTGTACAAAAGACCATAGTCAATTGTACTCTTCACATATCTCAGTATTCGTCGAACTGCTTCCAAATGAGGCTTCTTTGGATTTTACATATACCGACTCATCACACCAACTGCATAAGAAATGTCAGGTCGGGTCAAGGTTAAGTAGATCAGACTACCTATCAATTGTTGATACATTGTTGCATCTTCCAAATCTTTTCCTTCATGTGCACACATTTTGACATTTGGTTCCATTGACGTTGAAATTGACTTGCATTCGAGCATTCCAAACCTCTTCAATAAATCTTTAGCATATTTCTCTTGCATAGAAATATTCCTTCATGTGTGCGATCAACTTCTAGACCAAGGAAGTGCTTAAGTTGTCCAAGTTCCTTCATCTGGAAATGAACTGATAAATTATCCTTCGTCTGAAGAATTTCTGTCTCATCATCACCGGTTATGATTAAGTCATCCACGTAGACTAGCACGATAGCTAGCTTACCTTCATTGACTTTGATGAACAAGCTAGAATCTACAGGTGTTACTGAATAGCCACTTTTCGTTAGAAATTCAACAATCTTACCATACCACGCCCTAGGTGCTTGTTTCAATCCATAGAGTGCTTTTCGCAGCTTACACACAGATTCAGGATTATCTTGACTCTGAAAACCCATCAGTTGGGTCATGTAGATCTCTCGATATAGCTCTTTATGAAGAAAAGCATTCTTCACATCCATCTGCCATAAATTACAGTCTTTGTTGGCTGCAAGTGCATGTATAACTCGTACGGTTGTAAGTTTTTCCACTGGACTAAATGTTTCATCATAGTCTAGTCCATATTGTTGAGAAAAACCACAAGCTACCAATCGTGCCTTGTACCTCTCGATTGACCCATCAGGACCGTGCTTTATCTTGTAAACCCATTTGCAAGATATGTTTCACATATTTTATCTTTGGCACAAGATCCCAAGTTTGATTTTGCTGAAGTGCATCGATCTCTTCTTTCATAGCTGTCATCCACTCAGAACTCTGAGAAGCTTCTTCGAACGTCTCAAGCTCTGTTACTTCTTTAATTATGGCTGCATTGGCATATTTGGAATTTGGCTTTTGTATTCTTATTGACCTTCGGAGTTGAGATTGTGGAATTGATTCTTCTGTTTCACTAGGCCCACATTCTTCGTTTGGTTGTTGATACACGCCAGTTTGCCAAGGATTCCGAGTTACTATTCGTTCGACATCATCGCCATTTGGATCATTTGATTCATCTGAACTTGTTTGGAGTTGAACAACATGCTCCCCCATCTTTTGTTGTAGCTTGTCTCTAAATTCTCTCGAATCTGGCAACACCTCCTTCTCCGAGGACCACCAAGAAGATGCTTTATCAAATACCACATTTCGTGACGTGTAGCATCTTCCACTAATTGGATCACAACATTTCCACCCCTTTCTCTGGCTGTCGTATCCCACAAAGATACATCTAACAACTTTCTTGTCAAATTTTCTCCGTAAATGATCAGGAACAAACACATAACATACACAACCAAATACTCGAAAGTAGCTAACTGTAGGTTTTATATTCCATAGTTTCTCAAAGGGTTAAACAAATCCTAACCTTGGTTGAGGAAGTCTGTTGATCTCAAAGGATGCAGTCCTCATTGCTTCAGCCCAAAACCTTCCATGCACGTTCTTTGCATGTAGTATACTTCGACAAATTTCTGCAAGATGCCAGTTTTTTCTTTCTGCTACACCATTCTATTGTGGCGTGTTGGCACAAGTGTACTGATGACGTATTCGGCACTCCCTTAGGTATTAAGAGAACTTGTTTGATCTATATTCTCCTCCGTTATCTGTGCACAATCAACATATCTTCTTTTCCACTTCTCCTTCAGCTGAGTCTCTGAACTCTTTAAACTTTGAGAATGTGTCAGATTTTTCTTTCATAAATAAAACCCAAACATACCTGGAGAAGTTGTAACATCCTCCATACCGGGTTAGTGATCAAATTGTGAAATTTTAAAATTTAGTGACCAAAGTAGATAAATTGAATAGTTAAAAGATTTAATGGGAATGTTTTGTGTAGGATCGATTAACAAAGAATGAGGAACTAAAGGGGTAAATGAGACTTTTAATAGGGGAAATAATTAAATATTAGATGATAATATTTAAATCCACGTGGAAGGCAAATGGAGAGAACAAAAGTTTCCAGATTTCTCTTTTTCTTCACTTCTTTTTCCCCATCGTGAGACCAAGCTAAAGGTGAGTTTTTATGTTGATCAAATTCTTGATGAAATTAAGATTTCTTATTGATCCTTAGATGATAACTAAGCTTAAGGAAAGCTTAGATTATCTTAAAACCATAAGATGAGAAGTATATGAAGAATTAAAGAAAGGAAGTAAAAAAGTGAAATCTTGGATTAGAGTTCATAATAAGAATTAGAAGTGGGATTTGACTTGTTATAAAGCTAACTAAGAAGTATGAGGTGTTAGAATTCAAATTAGAACATGTTGGAATTTGGGTTAGATTCTTAAATTCTACATGGAATATTGGATTTCTAAGTTTTTGAGATATGAAATGGATAATAATTAGTTTAAGTAAGAGTATGCAAGTTAGGGATATAAAAAGGGGGTGAAATATAAAGTGTAGAGAAGATTATAAAGAGATTTTCATGCTTAAAATGATATTTCTGGGCTATGTGCATCGGTGCACATTCAATGTGCACCGATGCATCAAGGATAAATCCCAGAAATTGTTCAAGGTGTACCGATGCACATGAAGTGCATCGATGCACTCTTTTAAAATACAAACATCAAATGCCATCGATGCATCGATGCATAAGGAGTGCATCAATGCACCCCATTAAATACAAACATCGAATAAGATTTATGCATCGATGCATGGTGTAGTGCATCGATGCATACCTCCATTAAAAGATGAAAATGGCTTTTTTTTAGCCTAAGAAATGATAGTTGAGAATATACTAATTAGTCTATTGATAAGTATCAATGAATTACTATGTAGATATCGAGCCTAAACGAGTTATGGAATAATCGACAAGTAGGATTGATCGAGGGAGAGACAAAGAAATCTAGGTGAGTGCATATACATAGCATGAATATAGTATTATAATCAGTTTTAGACTTATGATAAGTCTAGATTCAATATTTTGATACATAATTACATTCCATATTATGAAACATGATATGAGTTTATACCATATGCATTATGTGACACAAATATACAAGAAAAAGTTATATCAGTTATGTGATAAAGGTATAGAAATGATATGTCTATGTGATAAAGGTATGAAAATAATATGTCTACGTGATACAAATTATGTAAATTGAAAAAACCCATGTTATGTAGAGGAGAACTATAGGTATAGTTGGCATGCCAAGGGTAGAGGGTCTACGCGGGTCTTTCGGGATATATATATATATATATATATATTATTCTTTGGAACATGTGTGAAGTCTTGTGAGACACATACTTGATCCCTAGTATATGTATATGATTCTTAAGGAATGATATGTGGTCCTTATGGACATTATTATATGGCACTATGGTGCAATTCTACACGGCACTCCAATGCAATTCTACGTGGCACTTCGGTGCAATTATACGAGCTGTAGTGACAACATAGTGCACAACCTCACAATATTCACATACCTTAGGTTCTCAATATGATATCATGGGCTAATGAACTTAATAATGTGAACTTATGAATGTGAATTTGATAAATCTATGTGTAAGAAACATGGTTATGGTTATTGCATTGTTTACATACATATTATCATTGTAACCCATCTCATTTTGGCAATTCCTTTATATTTTATTGTTATTATTATATTGCCTCACTAAGTCGATGACTTAGCGTGTGAGTGTTTCACACGTAGGATCCGATAAAGTAGACGATCGAGGTTAAGCAGCTGGACAACATTACTCCTGCAACTATCAGATCAGAAGCAACTTAATCAGTAGACCATTTTGTTATGTAAATGGATGTTGGCATGTAACTAAAGGGTTAAGTTGTATATGCTCTGAGTATTTTGGTAAAAGTGTATTAATATATGTATATTATCGTATTTTCTTAATATAAGTTCAAATGTTGTGATTTTGTAAGAATTGTGTTTTTAAAAAG